AAACAGGTAATAAACATAACAATTTTTAACTGATGATCTTTATTTGGACATTTAAAGAATATTTACTTCATTTTGGGTATGTTAGTAGGGTATCTCCACGCTGGAGTGTCATATTTTGGATACCTTACTGAACAAGCGCCCACCGAACTTCTTCTTCAGTAGCAGTACAACTTGAAATCACTCACTGTATATTTGTATACTAGTACCAGTGCAGTGCCACAGTGGCATATTCGGTGAATTTTGTTTTCTTCTCCTAACTTAGTTTTTATACTTACCGCTTACCATGCAGTTCGACCCGACTGAGCTGGGCTGAAACACGTTCACGACGAGCAGTATCCTACGCTTGAATATTCGACACAAGTTATAATTTCAGAAGAAGTTGCGACAGTTGAACGGCTCCGGTCGAAACAAATATTGCAACACAACGTGTGCGATTATGGCAATGCTTTTGCATTTTAATGTAATACACATCCATTTCATACGCGTACTGTACACTACCTATACCTTGTACGTAAGATCATAGTCTAGCTCCAGCTACTGCCCGAAATGTACCCCCCCCCCCCCCCCTCCCCCAACCCCTCGCTCGCCCCCCCCCCCCCCAGGAGCGGTTCCAGCTAGATCTAGCCAGAAGAGTCATCCCATATAGTAATTCTTTTAATTTTCTATATCTGGCTGTAAATATTACTATTTTAACTTATTCATTTTATACATAAATTATGATGTCTGTATAGGGCCCCTACTGGAAGCCCTCGAGCTTTCGTGGGTTAGTCTATCCTGTTCAAGCTGACTTATTTTTGATCTGTTATTATTGTATAGTGTTGTATGTTGGAAGCCGTGGTCGAATAAATCAATCAATCAACTTAATTCGATCCCTGAATCCTAAATCCTAACCCTAATCCTAAATCCTAGGTTAGCCCCACAGTCAAATACTAGTACTACCGGTCAGCATATATCACTTCGCCTTCACCCTGAATTCACTACAAAGTTTACTGTTCATGTTTAAATATTTAAATAATATGCTCTCACTTTTATTTCAAACTCTGTTTTCATTATAAATTACACCATTTACTTTTACACTTTACCCGTTTCCTCTAACTTTCATCTATTCAACCCGAAATTACTAATTGTACATATAGATCAACTACACACAGCTGTACGTCAGCTATGGAATTGTTTCCTCTATAGGCCTACTCATTTAAAGCCAAAGTAAAAAAAAACAAAACGAGATGTTATTATCAGAATATGCTTTCTTAGGATATATTTAAAAGCATTGTCAATCTTAGAATTCTTATACAAAATGATGTACATGCAAGGTAACATTTCTGTGTAAACTTTTCAAATGTTGTGATAATAGTTGATCATCCCTGTATATATTTCTTTCATTGAAACCATTATCATTATCATGAACATCATCGCCATCAGTTCAGTTCAGTTCAGTATCATTTCTTTCCCTCAAAACAAAAATACAAAGAATACCTCTTTTGTTTTCTTCGTGCAAATGATATTTGTTTTCAGCTCGATACAATATAGATGATAATAGTATTAATTCAAAATAATGTTAATGTAGTATAACATGATATGAAAATGAATGCTAATGACAAGAAACATATTGTAAATCATCATCATTATCATCAGCATCATCATCGTCATCATTATCCTCAGGCGCGTACGCAGGGGGGGGGGGGTAAACCCCCCTTGAGATTTTTTTATGTGTATGTTTTGTGTATGTTTTTTGGGACCCCCCCCCCTTTTTGAGTGTTGTTTTTTTTTTTTTTTTTTTTTTTTTTAAATCCTTATAGATGACCTAAAAAAGATGACCTCCCCCCCCCCCCAACGGAACAAAATGTCAATGGGTCAAAATTTCAAATTTCGGGACCCCCCCCCCCCAAAAAAAAAAAATATGTCCTCTTATCCCCCCCCCCCCCCTCCCCCCCCCCCCCCCCCCGCTTATTCAGCGGCTGGCTGATTTGTTGCGATTTTTCGGGGACCGAAAAAAAAAAGTCTCCTCCTCCCCCCCCCCCCCCCCGCCCCCTTGAAAAAAAAATGCCTACGCCACTGATTATCCTTATATAGTTACAAATGCTTTAAATTATATTTGTTTATTCTACTTGATAAATATGTGGATCTAGGCCTATTTCATTCGTTTCGGGCTGTCATATTTTCAAGCAATTTACTTGGTATCATTCTCCTGCAAATAATTTCATAACATTTGATGAAATATGATAATTTTACAATTTATTTTCTTTTTTCTATAAAATTTGTATATGTTTATTTACTTATTTATCATTAATTTGTCAAAAAGTACTTTTTAGTATTTTATGTTTGTCATGTTTAACGAAAATTGTTTATATTTATATGGAATGCAGAAGAAAATCATGATAAATGGGGATTTCATATTTTATTATTTTGACATTGGACTCACAATACCCAACAGTAAAGGTGAATTTGTTTATTTTTTTACATAATTATGATATATGTCACAAAAATTTAGTAACCATAATTCTAATTGAAAGTACAAACGTGTTTACGAATATTAGCCCTTTTTGGCAGATATCGGGAATTCTTTGGAATTGGTGATTTTGGGGTGAATTCTCACATTTCTGGTAATGTTTTACCTGCCGTTTTGTGATATTGATCAATTCTGGCAACACTGTAGGATTTTTGTTTAGGTGACGGGCCTTGTTTTAAAGGAAAGCTTTTGTGGTCTGTAAAATTATTATCAATGACAACGATGGTTTGCCTTCAATCGCCTACTATTAAAAAAAATACAGGTGTCAGGAGTCACATGCACCCCCAATCAAATGGGGCAAAATGGACAACAATGGAGAGAGAGAGAGAGAGAGAGAGAGAGAGAGAGAGAGAGAGAGAGAGAGAGAGAGAGAGAGGGGGGGGGGGAATGAGCATGAAAAGCAAACTATTATTATACAGTGCGTCCCAGGAAAAACGAAGCCGAGAATAATATCGATGTTTTATCATAATTTAATCACAATTATAATTGACAAATGACACATATTATTTGGAAAGCTTAGATCCTCCTCTTTGATTTGATACTACTCGTATAATGCAAAGTTTACGCATGAGTGATTAAAATTAATTTGAAGAGAGGAAACCAAAATATCATTTGGCGGACGGTATCTGAATTTCAAAGAGAAAATCACATTTCCAGAAAGTTGAGTATCTACCCTTTCCAATGACACCTCAAGCAGGAAAAATGAACTAGGAATAACAAAGTTCTGTTCGTTTAAAGTAGTGCTTGCATTTCCATAATGTTATCAAACGAATTCGTTTTCACTGGCTGCCTGCAGTAGCAACAAATGGAATTAACAAAAGACTTAACTCCGTTTCGTTGACAATCAGCCCTGCATAAAGTCTTTCGTCTACGGCTGATTGTAAAAGAAATGGAGTTAAGTCTTTTGTCAATTTTGCTAGTTGCTACTGCAGGCAGCCAGTGAAAACGAATTCGTTTGATAACATTATGGAAATGCAAGCACTAATTGGAACAAACATAACTTTGTCATTCCTTGCTCATTTTCCCTGATTGAGGTGTCATATGAAAGGGCAGAAACTCAACCTTCTAGAAATGTGATTTTCTCGTTGAAATTCAGATACCGTCCGCCAAATGATTTTTTGGTTTCCTTTCTTCAAATTAATTTTAATCACTCATGCATGAAATATGCATTTATGAGTTGCATCAAATGAAAGAGGAGGGTCTAAGCTTTCCAAATATGTGTCATTTATTAATTATAAATGTGACTAAGTTATGATAAAACATCGATAGTTCTTGGTTTCATTTTTTTCTGGGACGCACTGTATAGGACCCCCTCCCACAAACTCCTTCTAATCGACGCTTAGAAACGTAATATTGAGTGCTATACAAATGTGTGCACTATTATTAGTATTATGGCTATAAATCGGTGCCCCCCCCATGATTTCAGTGCACTGCAATGGTATGGTATGGTATGGTATATTTTATTTATTCACGGTAATACAATAATTGTGCCCGCATTCAGCAAATTAAAGCTGTTTTTCAGCGAGGTCGTGACTACATGCACATACAATTCGAATGGAATATGACTGGAAGTCTGGATACACTCTATGTCAATGTCCGCCTTTGAAGGACCCTCTTAATAATGTCGCACTACTCGGTAGTCAGATGGTAAACCGAAAAACACAGTCGGGGATATTATGAATGATGAATAATTGACAACCATGGCTGTATATAATTATGCTTATTCCATTCCACCGAATGATTTTGTCTTATTAGATTTATTTGTCTTTTTCTTTATTTCTTCTTTGCTTTGATAGACGAATTATTGAACGTTCAGTCTTTATTATTGTGCTTTATTTGTCCTTGTTTATTTGTCGTCGTTTTGTTTGATTCTTTAGAACAAATCGGTTCAATCAATAAAAGAACAAAAAACGTGTGTAATTCTCTCAAAAATAAAATTTAGATAACACTTTTGCAAATTGGACGTAATAAGTTAATATGTATTTATATTATATAAACACGTCCTTTCGAGACAAAGGCCTATCTATCATCGCGGTCACCCCCGAAAAATCGCTAAAACTTGATATTTTATTCAGGAAAAACATTGGGTAATACAGAATTAGTAAACTGTAAACTCTAAACCGATGAACACTATTATTGTCAGAATACAGTACACTTAATAGACAAACATCGGTTCCACAAGAACGAAAAAGAAAACAGAAAAAAACATGGAATCAAGTCCTCAAATTTACGTCACAATACAAATCAACCTCTACATTGTATTTACAGGAAGTATACCAGCCTGAAGAAGAAAAAAAATAACAGCATTCCTATTTCAAAGGATTACCATTTAGGATTACATGGTTTTCTAACAAAATATGCATGTCATTCCCATAAAATTACCCCACAACCCTGCTTAATTAAAACACAGAGTTTTTGCTGGTATATAGCTAGAGGTCTCATGGTTATTGTCATGCCCCAATAACTGTGATCATTTTTATTGACGCGTTTCGTTACTTTACCCGTATGTTCGTTACTTTACCCGTATGGTGTTCCCGAATGCCGACGTTTAGATATTCCGTGTTCTGACTGAGAAGTCATCTCGAATTCATTTTGAACTCATAACGTTTTCGATCGGCAAGCTAAAATCGGTATGTATTACATAACTAATTTGAATTTTAGAACAATATCGATTATGTATTTCTCTATATATTTGAATTGGTAGATTAAAAGTTTGTTTCATGAATTGAATTGTGTGTGAAGTATGATGGTCAGATCATTTTGTCTTAATGGCGCTTTCTTTCCGATTTCTGCAATTTGCTTTTCTTCTTCTGATATTTCATAATAAGCTTTTGAACTATTGTAAATTGATGGATGTTTCTTCCATGAATCCCGGGTAACTCAATTTGAATTCACTTGCTGTTCGGTAGCTTACGTTGTAACGTGTCTGACACGGCCGAATGTAGCAACTACTTCGAAGATCAAGATACATTAATCTTGATCTAAGGAGACACGAACGAACGAGTAGCTTATAAAATTATATGACTTGAATCCACATCACGTATATACATACAGGCAAGCTTTCGGTAGTCTAGGATCTTCTTGCTTTGACTTAAGACGTATAGTTATGTGCACCAGTGGCGGATCCAGGGGGGGGGGGGTGCGGGGGAGCCGGGCGGCCCGGCCCCCTGGGAAAAAAGGTGTATTTTTACGTTTTTTAACGTCAATTTTACCTTTTTTTTTGGAGATGGCCCTCCCCCGGCGCTCAAGGGGGGGGGGGGGGTTAAATTTTTCAAATTTTCGAGGGCCAAACAAAAAAAAAAAATAGTGCTCACTGCCCCCCCCCCCCCCCCCCCCCCACTGAGCGAAATATTAAAATATTAGCCGGCACGATTTTCATATTTCAGCAGACTAAATTTTAAATCGATTTCAAATTTGGGCCCCCACCCCTAAGAAATCCTGGACCCGCGCCTGATGTGCACATTAATTTTGAATACATTAGTCTTACTTATTGATTTGTTTCTGTTGAGACGAAGCGTTTCGAAAAACCATGTCGAGCTCTTTCAATCAGCTAGTCCAAGAGAACCATATTTCTTTTGCAAAACGACTCGGGTTATAAATTTATTATGCTCGGGTCAGTTTCTATTCATCAACGATCATTGTTAAAGCAGGGCTCCCACTTTGCCGAGTTGGAGCCTCGAGTTGTGGCGAGCTGGCGCGAGCTTAAGGCAGGCCGTTTTATCATTAAAACATATTTCTTGATAACAAGAATTCAATCAAGAAATAATTTTACGTTGTAAAGCAATGGTAATTCTTGATATCAAGAATTCGATTTCGTGATATCAAGAATTCGATTTCGTGATATCAAGAATTCGATTTCGTGATATCAAGAATTTGATTTCGTGATATCAAGAATTCAGTTCTTGATATCAAGAAATATGTTTTAATGATAAAACGGCTTGCCATAAGCTCGCGCCAGCTCGCCACAACTCGAGGCTCCAGCTCGGCTAAGTGGGAGCCCTACTTAAAGTGTGGAATAAGCAAGTTATCCGAGTTCGGGGGTCATTGGGACTTACTGTTCGTTTATTACAAAAGAAGAAGAAGGAACAAAAAAAGTTTAGTCTTTTCAGTTACCGTTTTGTATTTAAAATTCACTGGTGCTTATCTCAGAGCGCCTGCATGGCGATGAACTATTCAATTCACCTATACTCTTCAATAATTATAGTATGTGTATGGATGGAATTGAATACATTGGATGTTGTTATCTTGGACAAGCTTTCAGGTTATCAATAACAACCTTTGTTTAAATATCATAAATAAAAGTTCAAATTGTTTTTTCTAAGCAAAATTATAAATTACCAAAAGGTCAGCTTTTATTAAATATTAATTGCCAATCTAAAGGTGTCGTTGTCAGTGATAAATCGCTTTACTGGGGATGCGAAGGCCGTGGGTTTAATCCCTGGCGTGGAACATTCTTGAGCAAGGTGTTTTATCAAAAGTTGAAAATGTTAGTAACCTGTCTATAAGGGAGTTTACAGATAGCACATGGTACAAAATTGACCCCAAATATCCACAGATCTTTTACACATGGAGAAGTTCCACTTTGAGCATCTTAGAATAATAACTGCCAAAGTCCTAGATGTGCTTCATGAATACCTTTTGTTTGCCCTCTTGAAAAGAAAACTTCCACCTGCGTATCTTAGAATGTACCGTTGGTGCATAAATGAATAATGTTACATAACTTTCATGAGCGCATATCCAGTATTCACCTCTGGTGGGTTTTACCTTTTTGGTACAAATGAGCTTTATCTGCCCATGCGCAGATTGTATCTGTAAACTAGTGTTTTTCTACTGAGAACAGGGTATCTCACTGAGCGGCGAATGCTTGCGAACGTAGCGAATTTCGCTGGGGTTTCGACAGGGTTCTTAAAAGGTTGCAAAAGGTTCGTTAAAGGTTGCAAAAAAGTTTGCCATATTATTATAATTAATATATTATATAACCTTGTCTATCGTTGCTAGGTTTAATTTATTGCATACGTCTTTGTGGAGTGCAAAATTTCCAACTATTTAATTCACCTGTTACGAATAATTGTATATTTCATTAGTATGCATGCGAATTATAAAATACAGCATTTGTTGCTGGTATACGGGACAAACATTATGGTTTGCTCGTAATGTATTCTGACTGCACGTCATTATTGCCTCTTTGTCTCGACGGACACTTTTGGTACCCATGCGCAAATTAAAATCGTTTGGGTTCAGCCAAGCACAATGAACACTACCCGCATCTTTTCTCTATTATAAGGGGGGGGGGGGGGGGTGTATATAGCCTACTGAGAAGACTAATCTTCAATGTAGACGTATATTGTACTGACAAAGTCTGTGTTTTACCGACGACAATTTAGATGAGACCATTTCAATTCTTCACCTTCTCCTCACTATTATTATTATTCTCTTTACTCTTTATTTCTATTTTTCGTTTCTTCTCAAATTCACTCTCCTTGTACGCCTCTAGAATCTCATACTATACTACTCCGTTTTCGCCTCCTATAACACCTTTTAAATCCAGACCTACTATATTGTGTTACTCAGTACGGGAGCCTATTCACATACAAGCTATGCTTTTTATTTAGGCTCCCCATATTTTACATTGTTCTACCCAGCCTGTTATATATATATACATATTTCGAAATTTCGTACTTATTTTCCGTACATTATATTTGATTTGAAATCTCTAATTTTTCCTTTTTTTTCTTGTGTGAAATCTATTCTTATAATAATATACCCCTGTATATATATAAAAAAGAAAGAATATAAACTGTTTTTCGATGTAAAATGTGGAATAAATAAAACTTCAAACTTCAAACTTAGAGTGCGCTCTCTCGAATAATAATATGTCGTTCATCTAAAAAATAAAACTTTCGTTCATTTAGATGACTCATTACACTTATAGCAATTTCAAATTTAGTTCCAAAGGAATACAAAAAGATTTTACCTGACGAGATTCTGATGTAGTATGGAACATCCATACAGCACCCACACTAGACACCTTCAGAGCAATTTTTTTTTTGGTAACGATTATTATCAAAGAAATTATCAAAGTCACTTTTAATAATATTGGGAAATTCTTGTATGACGCCCATGTGTGTCAGACTTGGCTCTTCTTGCGCTCCATAAATGTTAGCCCGGCTTTACTATGGCTGCCAATCCTGCCATTATGGCGTTCTATATTTCAAGGAATTAAATCTTCCGTTATTCTTTTTCCTCACCTATATGGGTCGAGTATGGCCAATGTAGATCAATGTTTTTCAAAAGGGACATTGATCCTGCATTGTGACTGGGATTTTAAAGGTAACACAAAGTTTTTTTAGAATTTTTAAAAATTGGATTGATAATAATTCTTTAGAATGTTAATATAGTTGGATGCCTGTGGATGTATCATAAGCACTAAAAAGTAGCCCCTAGAACACTTCTGCTTTCGAGATATTGAATAATAAAAAAATTACCGGTGCTCCTGGTAAATTTCGAATATTTCAAATAGCGCCTAAGGCCATTCCATGTTAGCTGCGACAATGAAAATCTCAGAATATGCAGTTCTGATATATAATTTCTAAACGGGAATAGCAAATCGGTCGACTGTAGTCAAACATTGTTTTAAAGCTAAAGAGATATCAGTCTTGAGAGGGCGCTATACAACATAAGAGTTTATTATTTACAATTTCATCACTTTAGACTCGATTTCAACCGCGACAACGATCATTGATTAATTGTAAAATCGCATATGCTTCCAAATTCCTGACCCCATACCAAAATTGTGTAATACCATTGAGCGAATAATAACCTCTCCTCGACCCCCCCTCCCCCTCTCTCTCTCTCTTTCCAACTCCCCCATTTCTCTTCCCCCGCCTCTCCCTTCTCTCTCCACCCTCTCCTTCCCCCTTTCTCCCTCTCTCTCCATCTCTCCACCACCCTCACCTACTCTCTTTTTATAATTTCTTCCCTCCCCCTATATCTATGTTTTTATCTCGCATATTTTTTGTCTCGTTTCATCCTGTATACGTATAGCAATTTGTATTTACTCTGAGACATTATTTTGTAGTGTTTACATAATAATAATGTAAGGCTAACCATAACTACATAATTATGCATAATGCATAAATCTTTGTCAAGTGCCAAGTTACAAATTATTCTATTCACGTTATGCATACTTGTATTTCAATAACCAGAATGTGAATGACGGACAGTATTCATTTTGTTGCTGGTATATGACAAACATTATGGCCTGCCTAACCTCACAATATTTTATGCTATTACAAATGTAACAGCAAAAACGTGCATTAAAAATGATTACAAAACGGAAATATGGTTGATCAGTTTCTTCACTCAACCGGCGCGTTTTCATCATCTCGAGATTGCCAAATATCTCGAGATTGCCAAATAGCCCGTTATTTGGGAAAAATTAATAATCCCGAAGTAACAAATCGCGTCTTCACTATCTCGAGATTCGACCTCGAAACTTGAAACTCGAACTTGAGAAATTAGCTCGAGATATTTTGCTCAGCGTTAGCGTGTATTGCTAATCTTCGGTCTAGTGAAAACGCAAGTCTTCGGTCTAGTTAAGACGCACGGGACAAATAGCTGGATATTTTGCCAAATAGTAGGATATTTTGCAAACTATCCAAAGATATCTCGGGATGACAATCCTGACCAAATACCCTTCTAATTGCTACTTCGGTCTGATGAAGACGCAAATTAGCTGGATAGTTTGCGATCGGGATAGTTCAAATAGCTGGATATTTGGCAATCTCGAGATAGTCAAAACAGGCCTGTCCTTGTGTGGTTTATTGACACTGCGCTTCTCAAACGGAGAATGATTATTATAGCTCCAGTACAAATTTGTCTGCCACTATCGTGCCTGCTCGTTGTACCGCATCGAAGACGTGAGAAATATGAATAAAATATAACATAACGGTTATACCAGGGAGGTGAGACTTTACATGCCCTGGTTATACACTGCAGTTTTGTATTCTCATTGCGTTCTTGTCAACACGTATAGGTCTATAAAATCATATATTATATAGGGCTCGGTCTAACGAGATATTTATACATTAGTTGGACTATTTTGAAGAATGTACATTCTGCATCATCCTTCTTTAAAGGTAGGTGTACATTTTGCATTTTGTGATTGACAAGTTCAATGATTTTTGCAAATAAAAGGTTCTCGTCACTTTAATCATGATCATGATTCTCCTTTTTTGTCGCCAATAATTTTGTGTCGGAGTGTCATTTTGTCTCCAGTGATCGACAAACGATATGGTAATGTATTTTGTGTGAACGTACATTAATTTCATCTCGATCTACTCAGTCCATCGGTTCCATGCTTCAAGGGTACTTTTAATAAGTTTATCTGTAATTAAAGCTGTCCTTTTATACTTATTTTTATTACCGTCTTAAGTTTCTGTCTTTAGAGCAATCCTTTGGCTGTGACAGGCCTTTGCCGGTTTCGCTGGGTGTTCGAGTCTATGATATTGTGACTAATCACAAATCGAATTCCTTTCACAGTACGTAAAGCGGTTGTATATCGGTTATGATTTCAAACGAATGGATTAAACTTAAAACTTGAGGAACTAAAGTAATGGGAATATATATATATATAGCAAAATGAAACATAATTTTGACTCTCTTTTCTTTCTCTAGACGTAACAACTACTATCTCACCAGGATTGCACCGGCGGTAACAGGAAGCAATGGAGTCCGATACTATACCTTTAGTCAGCCGTTTGGATAAGCAAAACGGAGGTCGTATCAAGGGGTGAGAATATAAGAGTATTTTCTTCTCTCCCCCCCCCCCTCTTTCTATCTCTCTGTCTAAAAAAGGGTCAATTTTTAGTCATAGTGGGTTAACCCCCCCCCCCCTTTGGTATTTTTATGTGTGTAAACCCCCCCCCCCCCCCATCACTCCCCTAAAACCCCCACCCCCTTTGGATTTTTTAATGTTTAAAAAAAAAAAAATTTAATATAGGTTTTCCCGGCCAATTTCGTAAAAGCAGCAATCAATTTCATTAACGTGCATACATGTTCGAGCAAATTTTCTCCAATCGTTGCTCCCCTGTTTCATTTTTAAACTTGTTGCATTCATTTTCGTTTCGAGTCACCGAATTGTCTAAACATGCACATTCAAATTAAAACTTGGTTCAGTCAATTTGGAAATGCGTATAAAGTTCATTTCGCCAATGTTGAGTGGGAGGTGAATTCTTTGGCGAATTGCGATTTCATTTTCGTCTATGGACTACCTCTTTCGCAATCGGGTCATTCAAATTAACACTAGACCTCATAATCATATGAATTATAGTATGAGGCTCGATATTTATTCGGATATTCAGTATTTGATGTTCATTTATTTATTCTTTTTCTCTATATGATCTTTCCTGACATGATTCACATTCTACAATCTTATTTGTCTGATATATTTATATTGCATTATATGTTTTCTCTTTCTTTCGACATTCTTTATTTTTGTTGAAAGATCAGTTTCTCTATATTCATATCTTCATATTATAAATATAAAGGGGTTATTTTTTAAATGGTTTCTTTTGATCAATCTTGATTGAGTAGGTGATCTTTCTTTCTTTTCATTTAACATCTTTTTCTTTATTCAACATTGTTTCCATGTCTATTCAACCTAAACTCTACCTCTGTCCAAGATCTGTTTATATATAGCTTGTGCTTAGAAGAGAAGTCATAAATTGTGCACCTTCTCTGGGGACAGTTACATGTGTAAAGACAGAACGAATACGCATGTCATTCTTCCAAGTAAACTTTGCGTAAAATTATTCAAACAGAAGTATATTAAGTGACAAATTAACATCAAATGAAAAGCAATGTACAAATGTCACATATGTATGCCTAATCACGAAATTAAATGCACGAAGACATACCACCGTCTGTCCGGCGCGAATTTGGCTGCGCAGTATTGCACGCTTTTCTAAATTGAATGCTAGTTTTGCACGTCTCCGTGACAAGAGTATGACTTGAATGAACGTAATGTTAATTCGGATGCTAAGTTTACGAAGTTGGGCGGGAAAACCTATATTTAAAAAAAAAAAAAAAAAAATATTCCGATGGCTGACCTAAAAAGGTGACCTTACCCCCCCCCCAACGGAGCCAAATGTCAAATTTTCAAATTTCGAGACCAAAAAAAGAAGAAAAAGTGTCCTCTTACCCCCCCCCCCCCCCCCCCCTGCTTATTCAGCTTCAGCGGCTGGCTGAGTCGTTGCGAAATTTTCGGCCCGATTTGTAAATGTTAACCCCCCCCCCCCCCCCTTGAAAAAATGCTGCGTACGCGCCTGGATTTGGGTATCAATAATTCTTTGCAGATCCAAATAACATCCCTAACAAAATTAATCATGCCACACATATCAAATATGTATCAAATATCAAAGAACAGGCGCGCGTGTGTGTGTGTGTGACTTTGTTTCTGCAAAAAGCAATGCATCTCATTTGAGACATTCATTCTCTCACTTTGATACTTTTGCGCAAGTCGATTTTTGCACTGTTGTGAACACATACCACACAAAAATGATACCAAACGATTCGGAATATAACACTTTTTTAAAACATGTCTGATAACCTTTCGTTCATGATAGGCCTAACCTTCCGTTCATAGCTGACTTTTAAAATAAATGACAATTTTCTGAGTGTAAACTCTTTTTTTGGACTCACGCGGAATAGAGTTTGAGTTTGAAGATTATTTTGCATAATTATAGTCTTCATAGTCATATTGTCATTTTTATTCTTCTTAAAAATTGAAGTTAGTATAATTTTGGAAAAAATAAATATATAGGCATCAAGCAGTTAATTGGCATATTGTAACGCTTCTCAAATTCCTGGCAAATATTGCAGCGATCGCAATAATTAGGATATAGGCTGTGGAGCTCCGAATCAGCGTCAGCTTTCTCCTAGTCGAATTATAAATGCAACTGTGTGCGCTATAGTTCAGTGCTATAATGTGAATGCACCAAGACTATAGTAGGCTTAACAAAAAAACGCTGTTGTATTCACTTACAATGCATAAAGTCTACCGTAAACGGGTTGTTTGCCCTTTGCAACCGACCCCAAAATCTTGAAATCTACGGTCGGCTTTTTATTAAAGTTTTTTTTTTAACCTTTTTTTTTATAGAAAAATAAAGTTAGTAATGAATTAAAAAATAATATGTCTTTCAAAACTGAAAAATATTAAGAGGGAAAAAAGCAACGACAAAAAAAAAAAAAGAAAGAAAAGAAAGAAAATCGACCGATGGAGCGACGTACTCAGGTACTGGCACCAACATGATTTTGGCCTAATACTGATCGAGCGCGCGTGCCCCCCCCCCCCCCTCCCCGGCCCCTCCCCCCTCCTTTACGCAGTAAATTATGAAAATGAAATTGTTGATAGGTCTAGGCTATCCTTGTGCTCGACAAGTCTAGGTTTGAACGATTTTTGTTAGTTCTGTTATCCCTGTTGATATACTGCGTTGAGTCAGTTATAGAATAGAAGCTATAGAGAATAGAATTCATCGGCTCAGATTACGACCCGCCTATATACTGGGGTAGAATATATGAGAGTACAACTAACACATTTACATGTCAAGATAATGATAGAGGCCAAATACGCAGAATACAGAATACAACAAAACAGCAATGTAACGTCGATGAAAAGGAATGATCTAAACCTAGGCTATGCTAAACATAAATACAATGTTATAAAATATGGCAAGCATACATGAAAAGTGGGGGTTAATACCACATGAACAATATAAATACCCCCCCCCCCCCCTTCCCCAAAACAAAACCCAAATTCAGTTTGAAGATGCTAACGCCAATTAAAACGAATGGGACTGTACATTGTCATTGCGCAGTTTGACAAGACTTAAAATATAGTTCGATATTAAATTTGTAGCCTAACAAGTGGCAAATATTTGTATAGGGTGATACCTAGCAATGATAATGATCTTCGAGGTATTGTTGTGAAAACAAAGGTCATTTTAGGGCCAAGTTTTCACGGCGTACGCACGATCGAGCACTGTATGCACAGCGCACGAATATAGTCGTTAATTCTCCCACCCTGTCAGCTAAGCTTCTGTGGCGCAATTGGCTAGCGCGTTCGGCTGTTAACCGAAAGGTTGGTGGTTCGAGCCCACCCAGGAGCGACTGCCTCCTTTTTTTTTCTTCTATTTTTTTTTTTTTACTTTGACTGAAAAATAACAAAATGTATTCCAACACTCAATATTTAGGCGAAAAAATTAGCCCACCAAGTTAAATATTACAATAATCTGATATATTGTAGTATATTATATAGGCATATAATTATACAGGTATTTTGTCTTCTTCTATCTACCCTCCCACATGGTTCCTTATAAATTATCAACATAATAATTTTCACAAAAGATAGATACAGGCACCACTCCATGACCTGTCATATAGATAGTTAAACAATAACATATGCCATAATAACCTCGGCCGCACAGCGACACACAAGATATTAAACTTGAATTATTTACCGTGCGCATATAAAACATTATTTCATCCTCATTACATGAATGATACAAATATCCATGTTGAAAATTTATCATTTTCATCATCATTATAGCAACTCTTTTAAATAAAAAATTAAAAAATATTTCATCTGTTTTTAAATTAATAATAATATATGCGTAATTAATACGTCTACTATATTCATGCAAGTTTAGAAATATGCTCCCCAATTTCACAGCGTTCAAATCACTGGTTAAGAAACAAAAAGAATTGGAATATCCGTCAGCCAAAAAGAGAAGTAAATTGCCTAGTCACTTTAAAAAATGGCGTTTTGACCTTTAAGCTTTTGTGTCATCATAATAGACTTTTTTTTTCTCTTTGTTTTTAATATGATCTTACAGTGATCTTGTTATGTAATATTTTGTCTTTTGTACTCCCATGTTTACTTCTGTACATATTCCTGTGCCCCTTTACAGAGATACAAGTATTTATTGTTACTTCAACCTCTTTTTTTCTTCCCCCTTTTACATTGCTGTTAGTTATTTCCCATAGTCAAATAATTTTACATTATTTACTTGTGTGCATATAATTTTTTTTTTTTTTTGGGGGGGGGGGGGGGGAGGGGGGAGGGGCGGTTGTGTGTTTGAGTGTTAGTATGAGAGTGTTGATGGTGTGTGTGTGAGGGGAGGGGGTACAGCGGATTGTCTCATTCCTCGACTTTGCTCCTCCAACCTGTTGGTGGTCTGGAGTTTCCATTGTACCTGTGAATGGCTTATTTTTACTCCTTTGTCTTCATTTTGGGCCCAACGAAATTTTCAGTTTCTGATGCAATGCTATCTCGAGGTTCTTGCTTTTGTACTTGTAATTGTTATAATTCTAATTTTTTTTATTACGTGTACTCTGCCTTTTTTTTTCTTCCCAGATCATCTCAATCGTTTGTAAATATCTTAATTTGTCATTAATTTCTTTTGTAACACAGCATTTGTATTTTTTTGGAAAGTTTGTATATGTTATGATTTGATTTCTTAATAAAAACATAAATAAATGTTTTGTACACTGTTTTGTTTTTGTTATATATTTTATAGGCAATTGTTGGAACTTGTGTGTATTAACAGGGACTGTCTCGACAAAACCTTACGGTTTCATTTGCAAGTTCCCCAATTCATTTCTATCGATTAACTTTGTATGATTCCGGTATATTTGTAGACATATTTACATTTATGTGTGTTCTCTGTTTTCTATATTGTATATAATCTGTATTGTATACCTTCATAACATGTGTTTTTGTATGGATTTGAATTACAATAAAACTTGAAACTTTAAGATATATAAACCAATTGCAATTCCGTGAAACATTAGCTATAATAAATATTTACTACATCATCCTTGTTCCCAGTATTTTTTTACTTGTAATAAAAAAATTGATAACGTTTTAAGTTAGTGACGTAGCTCGAGGTAGGAGGGGGGTTCAAAAGGGCACATGCACCTCCCCCAATCGAATTGCGAGAGAGAGAGAGAGAGAGAGAGAGAGAGAGAGAGAAGAGCACGGACCTGGTTCAAATTCAATTTTCTTTAAAATTATTACACCTGGTACTATGATCGAAAAATGATTTTGTCTTGGAAACGTGTTATATATGTACGTGTACGTGGTGGTGGTTATTTTACCTGACTGCTAGAAAGCATGCACTAAGCAACCAGACGACCGACGGTTTTAGGTTCTCTCCGTGGGACCCGGTCATGAGGATTAATGCCTTACCAAAGGGCACTAGCGCATCGACTTAGTTTCGAACCCGGGTCACCGGATTACGAGACCACTGCTCTACCAACTGAGCTATCGCGCCTAATCGTTATTACATGATAATAGTTTACAAATATACTTTTTATTTCTGTCTCATGTCATAGGCACTCCAATGGAAAGAATAGCCATCCCGGATCAAACGGCACCAACGGCACAAATGGAACCCATTACGGAGCAGCGAACGGCAAAGGAGACGGCAAATATTACGAGTTCCCTCCTGTACTCTTGTCATGGGAAGACGTTGTGGTGAAGGGAGCAGCGAAAACAGAGAAGAAGAGTTGGCTTGGGAAGAGGAAGACGAAAGGAGACCCGGAGCTTGGAAAGAGAGTCATGATGGAGACGAAGGAGATACTTCGGAACGGTGGGTTAGAAATATATGAATATATATATTCAAATGTGCCACTTCTGTTTTATCTTCATATATCAAATTTAAATCCAAACTACCCCATACATCTGTGAATTTTGAGGTACACCCCCTCTTTTTTTTTTTTTCTCTCTCTCTCTCTTTTCACCCTTTTACCAATATTTTACTCTTTTGTCATGTGTAAAATTTGCAACGATTTATTCAATTTTGTCTATTATATATTTGTAAAACTGCAAAAGAAAAAGAAAATCAAATCTAATTACATAACTAAGTAACATATACAAATATACATTTTTATATTCATGACATAGAATGAAGGCAGGTATACATAAAAAGATAATATTCTACATAATGACATAGCCGTGAAGGTATTGCCTAATCATTGTTGATTGCCTAAGAATGCTTTAAAAACTTTTCCCCAGTTTTAAGAAAATTTACATATTTTCAGTGAGAGAAAAGATTGTTACTAATTTGATTTAATTCATATCGTGTTATACGAAGATAATCATGATGGATTTACTCCAAAGCAATTCAGCTCGATTAGCGTCATCTATGACCTTGTATGTAATGCTTATTTTGCTTATTTATAATGAATTGTTTATTGGTTATTCTCATTATTATGTTGCAATAATCTGATATCTCCACTTCACTTCTAGTCTTGTTCTCTCGCCACTTCTCTCGCCACTTCTCTCGCCACTTCAAACACTTTAAACCCTCAAATCGGGTCATCGGGTCATCGCTCTGGTCGGACGATCGCGTTACCCGACCTTTTGTGAAATCATGCCCTTTTACTCACAAAATGTCTGGGGGGGGGGGTGTTTGTGAAATAATCCCTTCTCATCTATAAATGGTCTTGTCCAATTTACCCAACACTTTTTAAAATCCCTACATCGAATCTACAAAAAGTCGCGTCCCTTAACGCGCATCTTCACAAGATCATTCGCTTTCTTTTTACGAACGGTCGTGTAGGGCACTGACTACCCACCCAGATGCGATGACCCGATATTATATTCCTCTTGAGTTGGCCGTGGCCTTGCTAACCTTTCTTTAGTGAAGTGAAGAGCAGTCAAGACGAACTCGTCTTTCCTTTGACACTAGAGATCAAGCTTAAGCTTAATACTGAGATCTTAAGTACACGTATTCATTGGACCCCTTGCCCGCAATATTATGTTACTTTATATCCTCTCTTTACAGTTACTGGTATCGCAGAGCCGGGTACTTTAACAGCCATTATGGGCGCTAGGTAAGAAACCATTTTAACCCGTTGACCACTGAATTTATTAATTACAATAGCCTTAATACAGGGGCCACCATGTTTCAATGGGTTGAGAGCTTTTGAAAGGGAAATCCAATCCCTTCTACTGTTTAGGAAATCGTGGGTCACTGGATACATATCATATTCTATTCATTCTGATTAAACTGATAATGTAACTACGAGATGAAGGGGAAACGCCCCACCATGCCAGGCAGGGAGGAAAGGACTTTAAAAACGCCACTGCCATACTCCATTTGATTAGCCAAACTTGAGTTTCTTGATAAACCAGTAAACCTGAAAAGGCCGAAGGCATATTAAGGCTGGCTTGAAAAACATACTCAGAACAAACGTTTAAATATTATTGAAAGCATGGATATTACTTTGGTCGGCCCCCGCCCCTTTAAATAATTAATTTTGTTATAAAAATCCTACTTCCATGGGGTTCTTTATTTAAAAAAAACAATCTTTTCAAATGCAATCTTATACATCAGAAGTAATTGGGATCACGCTATAGTGAGTAGACAATGGGTAAACAATAATCACTATGGCCAAAAGTTTAGGACAGAACAAAAACAATTAAACAGAATTTATGCATTAATTTTCCTGCATGCATTAGTGATTTCATCATAATTATTTAAGGTAATACAACGTTTTGGCATGGGGTTATGAATTTGGTTCAAATGAACATATTGGAAGCATATGCGATCCTACAATATTCAGTGATCGTTGTCGCGGTTGAAATCGAGTCTACAGTAATGAAATTGTAAATAATAAACTCTTTATGTTGTATAGCTCCCTCTCAAGGTCAAGATGTTAATTGAGCTAAAAAACAATGTTTCTTGACAAAAATCGACGGATTAGCTATTCCGGTTTGAAAATTATATATCACAACTACATATTCTGAGATTTTCATGGTCGCAGCTTCCATATTACGGCCGTAGGCCCTATTTGATTTTATCAAAATTTACCGGGAGCACCGGTAAAATTTTATATTCAATTTTTCTCGAAAGCAGAAGTGTTTTAGGGGCTAAATTTTCTAGTGCTTATGATACATCCACATGGGCATCCAAATATATCAAAATTGTAAAGAATCACTATCCACCCAATTTTCAAAATTTACCAAAACTTTGTAATACCTTTATCTCCTGCAGTGGCGCGGGAAAGACGACTTTGCTGAACACGCTCAATCTACGCAGTCGTGAGGGACTGGAGGTTTCCGGTAGTATCCTGGTCAATGGCCGACCCATTGGTCATCAGATGGCCCGACTGTCTGCATATGTTCAGCAAGATGACCTCTTCCTGAGCAACCTCACTGTCAAAGAGCATCTAACGTTTCAAGTATGTCCAGATCACTTTAATTTACATTTTTCAAGAGTTAATCTTGAATTTTTTAGTGCTTTGTTCGAATGGCTGATGATATGGGGTAATGATTTTCCATCGGAATATATCAAGCTCAAGTTTAAGTTTTATTTCAATTTAAATCCATAAAAAACACATCCTATGAAAGTATAAATACAGATTATATACAAAATAGGAAACAGAGAACACACACAAACTGGAAACACGTTTACAAATATACTAAAAATATAAAAAGTTAATCAATAGAAATGAATTGGGGGACTGCAAATAAAACCGTAATGTTCTGTCAAGACAATCCATGTTATTGAAAGATACCTTCAAGTTTCAAAAATTGCCTAAACAATATATAAAAATAACATAACTTAAAGTAATGTTTCTGGTAGTATCTTGGATTCTTGGTCAAGGACTGTGCTAGTGCATGCCATCATAATTTATGGCTCGTCCCTCAGCATATTTTCCAGAAGATGACCACTTTCTTAAGCCCATCCGCACATTGAACGATCTTTTCTGCAATCCTATTTTCAAGAAGCATAGGCCTGTATCGGATACGCAAAGAAAAACATTCTTGTCGATTAATATACATATTTTTGTTTTGTCTTCTAGGCATGGGTGAGGATGGATCGTGAAATACCTATGAAATCCAGATTGCATCGTGTAGATGAGGTCATCCGTGCGGTAAGTATTACCCACTTGCCATTTTTGTTGGTAAGGGGGAGGGGGGAGGGGGCGGGGATGAGGAGGGGGCACAGCTGACCCGTCCCCTTTTAAAACCAATGTGACATATCTTATTACGCTGGAAAAAACTGTTCCAATTTGAGACCCCAAATGCACCTGAAAAATATGATAGCGCCCCTTTAAATTTGTTTATTTGTCAGAATTGATTTTTGCAATTGCATGTGCCTGCCTCCTCTTTTTGTTAGCAAACACCTGGATTCGCCCCTGATCTTACCAAACTTCATGATATTCTTCATTCATTACAATAGTAGGATCGTTAGGACTTTCAAAGAATTAACTGAGGGGAAATTCAATAACCTATTAATTCCCGTCATATAAAGAGAATATACAATGGGAAGAAATTAACAACAAAATTATCAAAATTTATGAATGTATACGTACGACAGTTTACATAAGGAAGAAAAAACCTTTCTCCTGTTCTCTCTCCTTTATATATAGATGATATCACATTTGTGTCTTTTTTAAAAATGCCATTTTAATATTCTCTTTCCTGTACAGCTTGGTTTGAGCAAGTGTTCGGACACCGTGATCGGAAACCCTGATCGGGGAATCAAGGGTACATCAGGGGGTGAACGGAAGCGGCTCTCATTCGCTTCAGAGGTAAAAAAAAAAAATCGAGTGATCACGGACGTCACTCCTCTGGAGAGTGAACATGTAGTGAAAATAGAGTGAACATTCACTCTTTTCTTCTTAGAGAGCATTCTAAAATCAATCGATATTCACTCCTAAACAAGTGATCACGGACGTCACTCCCAAGAAAGTGAAAATTCACTCTTTTTTTTTTTTAGAGAGAGAGAGTATTGAATCACCAAATAAAGATTTAAGAAAGGAGGAGGAATGATCCCATGTCCCGAACAAATATGAAAATATTCTTTTAGGTGTTGATGTTTAGATAAAGCAAATATTATGAACCAATAAAAAATTAGATAGATCTACGTATAATCTAAAAAAAGATTTTTTTACCCATATTAATATGTAAGAGTAAGAAATGTGACCCATATCGAAACCCAAGTACAGATGTATTGATAAACTACACTGCTGATCATTACGTTAGAATAGTTTGTTCTTACCTATTTTCATAAAGTGATTGTGAGTTTGTGACAATATGGTTAGTTCTTGTTAGATATAGTTTATATCTTACCAGAACGTATTGAACAATCTAAAGAGTCATAGAGATTGATACAAACAAAGTTCTGAGAAGATATAAACTTGATCTATCAAGAATACACCATAGTAACACAATCATTACATAAAAAGGATAAAAAGTACTCAAAATGTATGGGCGACAGTATTATGTGTATGTGTGTATTATAGCAAGCTATTTCCTATAAGCAACCACTTATGAATTAATTGATACTTTGACCAACGTAAATGTACATCAATTTTGGTTATATTGATGTACCATAATGAATGGCTCGTTATGTTGATCATGGTCAAGAATGGTTATTTCTGACCAACTCTTTTACAGTGTGACATCCACGGAAATAACCTCCCACCAACGAATTAGCTGGCGGCACAAACAGTTTAGGTTTATTGAAGAAGCTTGCGTTATCCTTGATCTATGTTTTAATATCGAGCACTTTCGATTCCGCCAGTGCTTTGGGATAAACCGACAAGAACTCTTTTTTGACTCGTACCTAATTGGATTTTATCTGGCAGGTTTTGACGAACCCCTCGCTCATGTTCTGTGACGAGCCGACGTCGGGACTAGATTCGTACATGGCCCAAAACGTGGTCGAAACCCTGCGCGGTCTGGCATCCGAGGGTCGAACCATCCTGTCTACCATCCATCAGCCGTCTTCCGAGGTTTTCGCCATGTTCGACAGGTCGGTGGCTGAGGCAGAGAGAGAGAGAGAGAGAGAGAGGGGGGGGGGGGCGGGGAGTGGGAGAGGGAGAGAGAGAGAAAGAAAGAGAGAGGGAGAGAGACAGAAAGAGAGAGATAGATAGAATGAGAGAGAGAGAGAGGGAGAGAGATAGAAAGAGAGAGAGGAGAGAGAGAGAGATGGAGAGAGAAGGAGAGAGAGAGAGAGATAGAAAGAGAGAGAGGAGAGAGAGAGAGAGAGAGAGATGGAGAGAGAAGGAGAGAGAGAGAGAGAGAGAGAGAGAGAGAGAGGGGGGGGGGCACGGATATGTCATTATCGCAAAAGAAAACACAGTATGGAAATATATGTTTTTAAAATAAAATTCATATTTTTTTTGATAAAGGGTACATGTCGAAGATGACAAATGGAGAGGGAAATAAATAGACAACAAATTACCTTTGACAATGAAAATGACAATGGGGATTAATGTTTTAAACATGAACTTCTACATATTTAATCATCCTATTTCAAATCGGAATCACAGGCGTTCTCGAACTCAACATATTTCTTTAACCTTTTTGTTCATGTTTCTGTAAACATTCTTGATTATGGTACACCTTAGACAGAGGAATGGAATAAATCATTTTCTTGATATTCAATTCCTTTCTATTGCCAGAATTCTGTTGATAGCAGAGGGTCGAACAGCTTTTATCGGAACAACGAAGGAAGCTATCGACTTCTTTTCCAAGTAAGTGGATGGTTGTAAAAAAGAAACAATGCTGAAACATCACAACATAAAGACACATGTATTTTGTTAATCAAGGCTCTTAAAGAGTTGTGATTGAATTGAATTGAAATGTATTTCCATCATCATGACAATATATACAAAGATAAAATATGGAATTTCATAACATGTAACAATATCAAAATTGATTGATCCCAACCAACCGCACGTTTGCAGTCTCCTATCTATTATGTACATAGTTAAATAAGTTGCGACTAATATCGACTCTTTTATAAGACGGGGTCCTTATCATTAAGAAAACTGATTATCAGAGATCTCTACCAAGCAGTTTTTAAAAACCTCATAAAAAAAGATAATGAGACAGGGACTTAAGCACCATTTGTTTATTGTAAAATTATGTCGTAGTTTTTATAGTCTATAATTATGTCGTCGTAGTTTTAATATTGTATAATTATTTTGATGTTGTACAAGAGCGCCTTGAGCAGTCTTTTAGAATGGATATGTGCGCTTTATAAATTGACATTATTAATATTATTATTATTATTATTAATTATGCCCATTCACGGTTTCTTTCTGCATCATATTTGTTGTTGAAACATAAGGGGACTGTATTTAATTCATGAGCTAATCACACGTCACTATCTTAATAACTTTGTTGTTTAAGTAAATATGTTACTAGTTATTAGGTGAGTGAAATACGAGGGAACGAGGCTATCTATAGTAGGGAGGGTGCACATGTAAAGTGCACCCTCCCTGTAAAGCTTGTAAAGCTTGTAAAGTAAAGCTTGTAAAGTAAAGCTTATAAAGTAAAGCTTGTAAAGCTTGTGAAGCTTGTAAAGCTTGTGAAGCTTGTAAAGTGTTACACCTGCAGGTGTAACACTTTACAAGCTTCTTTTTTCGTTGCCCCCCCCCCCTCCATTAATTTCCTTTCGTTGCATCATGCCTACACTATATATTCCCTTCGTTTATACTTTCAACAACAAAATCACTTTCTTCTCCAAATCATCACAGTCATATTAATATGTTTTTTCTTTTACTTTAGTCTGGGTTACGTGTGTCCGAAGAATTACAATCCGGCTGATTTCTTCATTCAAACGCTAGCCATTGTGCCAGGCGAGGAGGACCACTGCAAGGAAAAGGTTGAGGTAAAGTGACTGAATTTTTCCTTTGGGTTCCTCAAAATAGGGGCACTTTAATCTGCTCAGCGCAGCCGGCTTTTACATATTCATGCAGTGGCTAGGTTTGATAACGCCAAAGGCAGCTCGGTAACAAAGACTGTGGATGGATCTTTAAGGAATTTATCTATTATCTTTTTGATGAAAAAAATGTTAAGAAGTGGTCTGGTGATAATTAGGTTTTATTGAGTTTTGCTCGAGTTTCAGATTTTTGTTAGCAAAATGAGATTTCCGTTTTATCATCATGGTACATTTTTGCTTTTCGACCCTCCCTCTTCTTTAAATGAATGTATTTTAGAGAAGTAGTAAACAGTTTTCGGTTTTCGGTCCTTTTCTGCAAGTCCCCCCCCCCCAAAAAAAAAAACCCCCACCCCCTAACCCCCTCAACTACTACTTCTTCTAACCGGTAGTGCGCACAAAATGCCGTGCAAAACTATCTATAGAATTCTTTACAAAAAAATTCTATTGAATTATACCAAAAAAAAATCTATATTAAACTAGACCAACACGTATTTCTTCTCTATCGTCTTATTCTAGTCTATTTTTTATTACGGATTCAGAGATAAACGCATAATAATGTTTTCCGGCATTTTTCCTATTATTTACTCTTCTTTGCTCAGTCAAAGTTTTCTCTGAGCAATATTTTCCTAAAGATATGACTCGATTACTCTAGTTGTGCACATCGTCTAACAATGCATATGGATTTTTAAGTATATCTTATTGTCGGGAACCTGTGGAAATCAACTATCTAAAGTTCTTTAACTCTTCTTTTTTTCCCCAGGCAATCACGGAGGCGTACGATGTGTCTGAAAACTCCAAGAAGATCCGCGTCAAGATTCCACCCACTATGAGTCATGCGGTAAGATGAGAAAAAATAATGTTAAGATGGTCTCTTGCATAGAAAGTATAAACTCCAACTAATTAGATATTGGTGCTCTACACATTCCTGTGGGTGTTTCACAAAGATCCTAAGTCGAACTTAACTCTAGGTTGGACTTAATCATTACGGAGAGCCATTTGCAGCCTTAAAATGAATTATGTTTAGAAAGCAAAT